ACCGGCTTCTCTCAAGTCTGATGCTTTTCTGGGCAGCTTCTTGTACCACAGTTCCCTGCTGCCCGCTCACATTTCAGCCTCCTCTGCACAGCCGTTGTCTGTGTCTGTAGCCTTCAGGATGAGGGCCTGGCTGCCTGGAGGAAACTTGGTGGGATGAGGTTGCAAGTGGCGTGGCCAGAAGTGGCTCTAAATAACTCCGAGCTTGTGCTGGGGAGAAGAAGATGGGGATTCACCTCCCCATACCATGGCTTTGTCCTCACACCAGGTACCACCCTCGGGTCCTCTACATTGATATCGACATCCACCATGGGGATGGGGTCCAGGAAGCCTTCTACCTCACCGACCGAGTCATGACTGTGTCATTCCACAAATACGGAAACTACTTCTTTCCTGGAACCGGTAGGGCACAGGGTCACTGTGGTATTTGTACCCCCTTAGCCGTTTGTGTGTGCTTTGTTTTGAGACAGGGTCTGTTCTATAGCCCAGGCTAGCCTTGAACTCAGAACCCTCTGTAATGAGCACCCTGAATGATGGGACTGCAGGCCTGTGCCGCTGCACGTGGCTGTCCTGTCTCTGCCATGACTGATTCCTTCACCTTCTGTTCTTAAGTATTGTGTGCCCTCCTCAGAGAAGCCTTTCTGACCATTCCACTAAGTTAAATAAACAGGTACCGAGCCCAGTCTCTTTTTCTCAAGAGTACTTGCTCACTGCTAGTTACATCTATTGTGGTTTTTTGTTCATTCTCTGTCTTTGTCACTATTCTGTGTGTGACGGGAAACCACAGCCAAGGCACCTCTTATGAAAGAAAGCATTTAAAAGGGGGCTTGCGTACAGTGTCGGAGGTTTAGGCCATTGTCCTCATGGTGGGGAGCAGGCAGGCTCTGCAGCAGAAGTTTGAGCTACATCCTGATCCATAGGCAGAGACACTGTGGCTTGGACTTTTGGAACCTCAGAGCCCACCCGCCTCCTCCCCTGTGACTTGTCAAGGCTGCTTCCTACTCCTTTTCTAGCAGAGTGCTCCCTGATGGCTCAGCAGTCAGTAGCCTATGGGGTCATTCTTATTCAAACCGCTGAATTCTCCTTCTTTGTCATGTTTCCCAGAAGTATGGGCCTGGTGGAATGTCATTAGGTCTATTCATTGCTGTGTCCCTCATGCCTTCTACACTTCTTAGCACATAGTTCCTCAGAAATATTTGTTGAAATGAATGTGATGGCATAAGCCTGTTTTCCCAGTAGGTAGGCTCAGGTGGGAAGGTTGCTTTAGGTTTGAGGCCAGTCTGGGATATATAGCTAGACTCTGTCTCAAAGGGGGAAAAAAGGAAGGAAGGGAAGGAGGGAGGGAGGGAGGGAGGGAGGAAGGAAGGAAGGGAGGGACTGGAGACATGACTCAGGTTAAGAGCATTTACTGTCCTTGCAGAGGAATCGGGTTCTGTTCCCAGCACCCATATGGCAGCTCACAACTGTCTGTAACTCCAATCCCAGGGGATCTGACTCCCTCTTCTGACCTCCATGGACACCAGGCATGAACCAGGCAGGAAGACGCACACCTGTAATCCCAGCAATCAGCAGGCTGAGGCAGGGGAGAGAGTTCAAAGCTAGCCTGAGCAAACAGCAGGCTTCTAGGCAGCCTGGGTTATGTAGCTGTGGTCTGTACTGAATAAATGCAGTGCTGGAGCCTCAGCGGGCATGTGGTGGAGGGCACAGAAGGAACAGCTGTGTTATGGAAACTACCACGTGTGACTGCTGTACCCACTTATTATAGGTGACATGTATGAAGTTGGAGCCGAGAGTGGCCGCTACTATTGTCTCAATGTGCCCTTACGGGATGGCATTGATGACCAGAGTAAGTACCAATGACTTCTCCACGCCACTCCCCTTCTTTTCACTTCCCATTAACGTCTTCTGCCTGGTACTGTCTTTTGTTGGGCCAGGTGTCCTTAAGGGTAAAAGTCCTTCAGAGGGACCATGAACCCCTGGAATTTGAATGCAATACATTATGTGTGTGCATTTTTATTTATTTATTAGTTTTCTGAGAAGAAGGTTGCTGGTGTCCAACAATCACTCACAGCAGGTTGTGATGCCCTCCAGAAGTTTAGAACCAATGGTCGGTTCTCTGCATTGCCCCTTCCCTGGGCTATATGCTCTCTCAACCCCCTTTTCCTTCTGTCCCTGTCTCCCCATCCTCTTGGGGTGCCAGGTTGCCCATCTTTGGCCCTCTCCCAGGTTACAAGCACCTTTTCCAGCCGGTCATCAGCCAGGTGGTGGACTTCTACCAACCCACGTGCATCGTGCTGCAGGTAAGGACCGCCGCCACCGGCACCTCCCGCAGGGCCTGCCTGGCCTGGGGAAGAGATCAGGGAAGAATAACTTCTCCAGATTGGTGAGGGAAGGACAGTAGAGGACACTGGTTTTCTGATCATCCATGTTAACACAGACATCTGGGTTTTTCTTCTATGTAGTGTGGAGCTGACTCCCTGGGCTGTGATCGATTAGGCTGTTTTAATCTCAGCATACGAGGACATGGGTGAGCATTGCCTTCCTTCTTGTTCCTGTTTTTTTACTTAAAGTTGTATTTCATCATCATTATCATCATTATTACTATGTGTGTAAGTGTGCCATACTTGACCATATATAAATACATATACATACAAACAAAACATAACAAAAATCCAATGAAGGAAAAATAACAAGACAGGGTAACAACAGGGAATCTCCTTTCTTTTTTTCTCAAGACAGGGTTTCTCTATATTGTTTTGGAGCCTGTCCTGGAACTTACTCTGTAGACTAGGCTGCTAGGCTGGCCTTGAACTCACAAAGATCCACCTGCCTCTGCCTCTTGAGTGCTGGAATTAAAGGTGTGCGCCACCAACACCCAGCTGGGAATCTACTTTTTGATTATACTTTTTTTTTTTTTTTTTGAAGAGCTCACTGTGTGGCATAGGCTGGCTTTGAACTTGTGATCCTCCTGTCTTAGCTTCCCAAATTCTGGGATTACAAGCTCAGGTCACCATACCTGGCTTGGGAATTGACTATAGGGAGCATGCTTTGGGAAGGGTTTTCTGAGAGGGTCAAATGAGAAGTGAGACCTGGAGACTAAGAAGAGTGACATAAAAGGACAACAGAGAATCCTGCCCCAAGCAGTGGGAAGGACAGTGGAAAGCCCTAAGATGAGAAAGAGCTGCTGTCTTGATGAGGAGGACATAAGCAGTGAGGTCAGAACAGCGAAGTGCCGAAAGCTGGCCAGGTTGAGGTTGTGTAGAGCTGTTAGACCCTATCATTCCATGGGTGTGGAAAGCCGTGGAAGCAGTTTAAACAGGGAGTGACATGGGCCAGGGAGTTTGGAAGTGATTGATTGTTCTGACTGCTAAACAAAGAAGGGTTTGGGAGGGGAGTGGTGGCACAGGATGGTAGTGGGAAGCCAGTTAGGAAGCCATTGTCATTGTTTGGATAGGATGTGGTGACAGACAGAGAAAAGTGGGGTTTGAAAATGTGTGCTGCAGATTAGAGTGGACAGTCTGCTGAGACACTGGTGAGAACAGTTGAGTGGCAGGTAAGGGGCCAGGAGAGCATTAAGACTGAGAGTGTGCTTTATTTTAAAATAGTAAAGCATACTAAAGTTTTTAAAGAAAATTTTTACTTGTTCATTCATCGGCGTGTGTGTGTGTGTGTGTGTGTGTGTGTGTGTGTGTGTGTGTGTGTGTGTGTGTGTGTGTGTGCATTGGATCTCCTGAAGCTAGAGTTACAGGTGATGGTGAGCTGCCCAGTGTATGTGCTGGGAACTGAAACTGATCCTCAGGAAGAGCAGTAGACGTTTAAGTGCTGCATAGACTCTCCAGCCCCAGAGTGCACTAATCTTGAACATACAGCTCAGAGACAGGGGGACATGGTGGGGGCAGGGTGAATAACACAGGCTTGAAGACTCGAATTTGATCCCTAGAACCCATGTAAGAAGTCAGGCCCAATGGCATGCACTTATGTATGATTCATAATCCCAGCCCTGGTGAGGCAGACAGGAAGATTCATAGGGCTTTGTGGCCAGCAAGCTTAGCTTACTTGGGAAGTTCCAGGCCAAAAAAAAAAAAAGGTGGATAGTACCTTTAGAACAACACTTGAGGATGTCTTCTGGCCCCTGTGTACATGTGTACATACATGCTCACATCCCCCCACACATGCATGTATCAATACATGTATTGGCTCACACATCTACACAAGCAGTCACACACAAAAGGATGCCACTGTGAATTCTACTACCCAGAATGACACAGATCATTTGTTTGTCAGTCTCTTTGCCCAGCATTTCAGGTGACGCCTGCGGTCACACGTCTCTGATTGCTTCTAACAGGGAATGTGTTGAGTATGTCAAGAGCTTCAATATCCCACTCCTGGTGCTGGGCGGTGGGGGCTACACCGTCCGGAACGTCGCCCGGTGCTGGTGAGTGCTCTATTCTCTTTCTCTTTTGTGGTTCACTACGGACTCTGAAAGTGACGGTCACCCCAACCCCCTGTGCTTGCTGGTTTCAGGACATACGAAACATCTCTGCTGGTAGAAGAGGCCATTAGTGAGGAACTTCCCTATAGTGGTAAGGTCTGCCTCATGGTGCCCCCACAGGGGGGCCATTCTCACCAGTCCCCAGAATGGCCTTGTTTGAAGGCAGATGGGAAATGGTATGTTCTGGGAGCTCTTCAGGCTGAACCCCTAGGCTCAGAGCAGAGCAGATAACTTTTATACATGGAGACCAGGATAGGGAGAGGAGATGGGAATGTCATGGGACTCACCTTTTTGTATCTCAGCTATACTTCTGGTTCATCCTCTCTCCCAATCCCTTCCCGTCTCTAAGAATACTTCGAGTACTTTGCTCCGGACTTCACACTGCATCCGGATGTCAGCACCCGAATCGAGAATCAGAACTCACGCCAGGTTAGAACTTGGAGAAGCTGGACACAGCGTTGAGAAGAGGATGGGAGAGGTTCGGGAGGTGGGAAGCAGGAGGAGGCAAGAGAAGGAGGCATGGGCTCTCACTGTTGTTGTTCGTACCATCTTGGGACAACCCAGAATAAAGTAGGAACAGTCATCAACTGGTATCTGAAATCAAAATACTACTTAAAACCAGGACAGTCAGGGAATTACCCAGGAGCTGCTGACTTTTCTTTTCCTCTCAACTAGTATCTGGACCAGATCCGACAGACAATCTTTGAAAACTTGAAGATGCTAAACCATGCGCCTAGTGTCCAGATTCATGATGTCCCTGCAGACCTCCTGACATATGACAGGACGGACGAGGCTGACGCAGAAGAGCGAGGCCCTGAGGAGAACTACAGCAGGTCTGTGCGGGGCTGAGAGCAGGTGGCCCTCAGGTTTGCAGAGGAGGCTTCTCAGTGCACTAGTTCATCTGGCCTTGGCTTATCTCCTTTAGGCTGCAAGTCTTCTACCTTTTTGACATTTTCAATAAAAAAACAACATAATGAAAATGTTATAAATAGCATCAAATAGGTTGTTTTTACACAGTCCTAGAATCATTCCACAAAAGGAACCACTTTTTTTTTTTTTTTTGGTTTTTTGAGACAGTGTTTCTCTGGCTTTGGAGGCTGTCCTGGAACTCGCTTGGTAGTCCAGGCGGGTCTCGAACTTACAGAGGTCCGCCTGCCTCTGCCTCCCAAGTGCTGGGATTAAAGGTGTGCACCACCAACACCCGGCTAGGAACAACTATTAATGGTTTGACTTATATCTTTTTTAGATAGATTATTTTCTGTAGATTATAAGAATACTTCTACATTCAGAATTTTATTTCCATACGTTGATGCTTTTTTGTTTTTGCTTTTGAGACAGGGTTTTGCTGTGTAGATCAGGCTAGTCTCGAAACCAGAGATCCTCCTGCCTCTGCCTTTTGAGTACTGGGATTAAAGGCGTGCGCCACCATGCCTGGTTCTTTCCTGGCGTTTTGAGATTGCATTTCACTGTCGTAGCCCAAGCTGGCCTTGAGTTCATAATAATTCCCTGCCTCAGCTTCCTAAATGTTAAGGGCGTGTACAGATCCATGTTTTCTCAGTTGTATCATCATTGTGTGGGGACAGTATAATGGAGTCACTTAGCACTCGTGGATATTTATATTATCCCTACTTTACTCCACCCCCTTTTCTGTGGCTATTAAAGTAGTGGAGACTGTGGCACTGAATCCCCACAGGATACCTCTTTGCATGCTTGTATGAGTGGTCCGATTTTCAGAATTGTCGATATTTGGGCAAAGGCTGTATGTATGTAGTAAAACTTTATATTTGCTGCCAAATTGCTTTCCAAAAGTCTTGGGTGTTTCACTTGCATCTGTTTCTAACTTTTAGATGCATGTGTTTTACATGTATGATATTTCACTTGCATCTGTTTCTAACTTTTAGATGCATGTGTTTTACATGTATGATGTTTCACTTGCATTCTGTTTCTAACTTTTAGATGCATGTGTTTTACATGTATGTTTCACTTGCATTCTGTTTCTAACTTTTAGATGCATGTGTTTTACATGTATGATGTTTCACTTGCATCTGTTTCTAACTTTTAGATGCATGTGTTTTACATGTATGATGTTTCACTTGCATTCTGTTTCTAACTTTTAGATGCATGTGTTTTACATGATGTTTCACTTGCATCTGTTTCTACTTTTAGATGCATGTGTTTTACATGTATGATGTTTCACTTGCATCTGTTTCTAACTTTTAGATGCATGTGTTTTACATGTATGATGTTTCACTTGCATTCTGTTTCTAACTTTTAGATGCATGTGTTTTACATGTATGATGTTTCACTTGCATGTATTCATGTGCACCACTGTGTACCTGGTGCCTGCTAAGACCAGAAGACGCCGTCAGATCCCCTGGAACTGGAGTTAAGGGTGGTTGTGAGCTGCCATGTGGGTTCCGGGAAGAGAAGCTGGGTCCTTTGAGTGACAGTGAGGACTCATAACTGCTGAGCCATCTCTCCAGCTCCCTCTTTACATTCTTTCCGGCATTTTACGCAGTCAGTCCTTCTGAGCACTGAACCAGACAGGCCACTGCCTGCGTTCTGTGTTATAGGGGTTCAACTGTCTTCTCCAAGTTTGAGACTTGTATTGAGTGAGGTGTGTGGGCAAATACCTTTCTTAGATCTATGTTGAAATATTTGTAGCTAGAATGAAATAGGAATGGGAAAGTTAGTAAGGATTGTTTTTTTTTTTTAATGTTTGTTAATCTTCTCTGGAAAATGAAGGGTTAGAAAGAGGTAGGGGAGACTTAGTGGGGAGCAGATCTCCTTATAGGACTGAGACCACCTGAGTTGATGTTTGGCTCTACTGCCGACGTGAATGACTTCTCAGTTCCTTCTAGAACCAACTTCTGGGTTGTGGGATTCTGGCCTCCCTCTCTTTCTTCTGGGCTTGGTCTTGACTGACCCTTAGACTCCTCCAGTCTCCATCCCCATGGGTAAGTCCTTCTTCCCTGACTTGGGAAGGAAGCGTCGGTCATCTGACTCTAGCTCTTTCTGACCATCGTCTCCTTGCATCTACCCGTGCCTAAAGCCTGACTCCCAGAAACTCATTTCCACTGTCTCAGTTGTTCGGCAACACCCGTTTCTCAGTTCTCCTTTCCTTCTGTAGTCACATGCTCACATCTGGTCCTCACCTCTGCGTTATTCAGCTTCTGGACAGCCAGCAGGAGCTTCTGTTTCTAAGCCTTACCTCACCGTCGGGCCACCTAAGAGGTGGCTCTTAGCCTCAGATGACCAGAGGAGGAATCCAAGGCTCAGAGAGATTAAGTAACTTTCCTAGGGTTCTGCAGCAAATAGCAGGGCTGAGACTCAATCCTCCATTTGACACTCAATCCTCCATTTAGAGATGATAGAGATGGGCTTCCTAAGAAGACACGATCTTGTCTACCTTAGTTCCTTAGCTTCTCTTCAGTGACCTCCTTAATTCTCTCTTTCAGGCAATAGTTTTTAAAAAGAAGGAAGCTGCTGAGTGCTTACTGACCCTGTGTTTCTATCCCTTCCCTTCTCTAGGTAGCTTTATCCTGTCAGACCCCACTCACACCTTCCCTGTCCTAGTCTCTCCCCAAACCTTTCCTTCTCCTTGTACTTAGAAGCAACAGCTTGAAGACATCCTGCACAGAGATCCCTTACCTCATCTTCTGAAACTGCTTTTGTCTGCCCACATAGCCCCCAACAGTCCTGGCTTCCTTGTCATTCTGGAATAGCTCAGTTTCCTTAGATCTTGTGATTTCTGTACTTGGTTTTCTTGTAGCTTGACCCAACCTTCCTGAGATCTTTGCCTGGCCAGATTCTTCACAGAATTCAGGTATTTCATTCTCAGAACAGTCTCTCCTTGCAATTGTAGATAAAAGATCATCCTCTTGTTCGCATCAGACTCAGTCATGTAGAACACTCCACCTTTTGAAATTATTGTATTCATCATTTGTTTTGTTACTGCTGGTCTCATGAAGGAAGCTTTGAGACATTGTATGGAACCTTGTCTGGCTGATTCTCTGCTGTTCTGCTAAGGCCTACAGCACTACCTAGCACACAGAAGTCTCCATTTATTAGATACTTGGATTTCAGTAAGTCCTTGCCAGCCAAAGGAGAGGAACTGGCTCTGAGGAAGGTACTGGGAAGAGTCTGGAACTTGAAGAGTGGGTTCCTAATCTCTTGTCCCTTGCTTTGCAGGCCAGAGGCACCCAATGAATTCTATGATGGAGACCATGACAACGACAAAGAAAGTGATGTGGAGATTTAAGAACAGCATGGATGTTGTGTCCCCAGGAATTCCTTTTCATCCCTTGGGTGGGAAGGAAAGTATGTGTCCTCCAGTCCTGAACTGGGTACCACAAGGCTCTTACAAACTCTGGTGAAGGGTTTGGAAACCACATGTGATTCTAGAATCATCTACCCCCTTTCTTCAAACCATCACAGCCTGAAGGTCCCTATTAGGGATGAGACAAGGACAAAGGTCTCTGGAACACGATGGGTGACCAGCCCTAGAGGCTGCTCCCCAGCTCCTCTGGTCATGTATTTGTTCCCTCCCTGCTTCCAGCTCAGAGACTCTTAGGGTGAGATTTTGACAGGGCTAGGGTCACCTGACTTGCTCCGGGCTCCTCCACTTTGGTTCTGGTTCTTGCTTCCATGGCAGGTGGACAGGGATGGGGAGGAAGGAGGCCTGGCTGTCTGAAGCCTTCACTGCACATGAAGTAGGAGTGTGAAGATGTCCTGCTCTAACTGGCTTTGTGTCCATTTGACCACTGTTTTTAATCTAATAAACCAATTGGTATTTTTTGTACCTTTGTGGGAATTTTAATTCTTGTTAGCCATCTATGTATGATGGGAAAAGGAAATAGAGATAATGATGTGTATAATAAAGTTGTTAGTGTTCGTTCATTCAGTACTTTATGTCAGGCCCTGCGTGTGTATAATAAAGTTGTTAGTGTTCATTCATTCAGTACTTTATGTCAGGCTCTGTGTGTGTTCTCTGTGGCCTGAGAAGGCATAAAACATCTTAAGGTATGTGAGCATGGCGTCTGAGGTGAGGATGTTAGGAGGCAAAGCTATCCTGAGGTAGGCCCAAGGTGTGCTCAGCTGTGCTGGCTGTAAGACGCTGCGGCTGGCTGAGATGCGGGCTGTATCCTATATACTGCAAACACAGACCTCTCCTGGAGACTAGTCGGGTGTGGCGAGTGGAGGTGTTGATGGCCCCTCGTGCTGTCTTTTCACTTCACAAGTGAGCAGCGTTGAAATTCTGGATGACCTGCAGGAGAGCTGGACACCTCTACACAGCTTCTCATCCAGCATCTGGAAGGTTGGAAACAGAGGAGGTGATGGCCATATTTAGGAGACAGCAAAGTTGGTAGAGACCCTGGTATGACATCTGAGCTCTGGAGACTCCAAAAAGTTAGTGAACATGTCCTCAGGGATATACACTTGACATCCTTTTCTTTAGTGGTAGGGGTAGTCAGTCCCTCCATAAAGGCACCATGTCAGTTAGCTGTAACCAGGAGAATGAGAGAGTTCACGTAAAGACCATACCCAGGGGACGCATGCAGACGTGTGTGGGTTATGCCTGTGGGGAATCCTGGTTAAATATGGTGTGGCTGTTTGTTCATCTGTGTAAATTTTCTATCACTTCAACTCCCAGAGTCCAAATTTAAGTGGTGATACCAGTAGATTCTATCATGAAATTGTGAGGAATCAGTGAGGAAAAATGATTAACATAACCTATAGTTTGTGATGGGTATGTAGTAACTAATTGCTGCATAGGCTATTGGCAATAATTAGTCTGTGCATAAACAAGAAAGCTAATCTAGGATTCAGAGCTGGGTAAAGTAACTCAATAGCTGGCCTAGATTGGCGCTGGCTCGAACTCAGTTATTGGCACATAGTTTCTTTATCAAGTAACTCATTTTTTACATTATTTATTAATGCACTTACTGCCTGGGCATCATACATACAAACTGCATTATCCCACAAAACCTAGCCTTAAATTTTCAACCAAAATAACAGCGTTTCTACGATAAGAGTCTTGGTTCAGACAATAAAATTCTGCCTGGGGTGTGAGGTGGTCTAGCTTAACAGCCACGTGGGCTCTGTGTGGGCGCCCAAAGGCCTCCTCTGTCCCAACCGCCAGGGGGCAGCACTCCCCGCTGCGGCCTGGAAGCGCAGCACCGCCCACTCTCCGCCCCCCCCCCCACGTGGGTCCGAATGGTTAGGCCCGCCGGGCAGGTAGCGCGCTTCCGCGGCGTCCTCCACCCCCCTCCCTTCCCCCATTGGTAGGGGCTGCAGGTCCGGGCGGAAGTGGGGCAGGCGGGCGGGAGCGAGGCGTCACCGTTGTATATTCATGAGGCGCGCGCAGCCCAGCATGTTAATGAGGCGGGGCGCGGCGGCCGGCTAAGCAGGCTGCTGGGCGGCGGCGGCGGTGGCTGGCTCGGGGCGGCCGGGAGCGAGTGGCGAAGACCGGGGTCTCTGGCCGGAGCCGACCAGAACATGGAGCCGTCCGGCGGGGGCCTGGGGCCCGGCCGCGGGACCCGGGACAAGAAGAAGGGTCGGAGCCCAGATGAGCTGCCGGCCACGGGCGGCGACGGCGGCAAACCCAAGAAATTCGTGAGTGTCCCTCCCACCCTGCTCCCCAGCCGGCGCCCCGGGGCGGCCGCGCTCCGGGCTCCGCGACCCTCGCTGCCCCCGGGGCGTCTGCCTGCCGCGGGGAGCCGCCCCCGCGCCTCTTCCTGGTTCCGCCGGGTCCTGGGCTTCGCGGTCCCTCGTTGTCCCCTCCCGGAGCCCGGGTCCCGGGACTCCCACCTGGCCCTCGTCCGGCCGCCGCCGCCGAGCCTCCCTCGCTCCGGAGCCCGCAGCTCTGCGCTCCCGCCCCCGTGGCCCGCGGGCTCTCAGCAGCACTTCCTTTCTTCTGCCTCGTACCCCACACGTCTCTCTTAATTTCTTTTCCTTTTTCGCTCCCTGTAGGCTGTTGTGGGTCCATCTTCTCTTCACACCCATGCCCCGCTTGGGTTTTCCTCTTTCTTCTGAAAGGTCATTTCCTCCCTCACTAGTGATCCCTTTCACCTGCTAACTTTCCTCCCGCCCCGTCCCCGTCCAGGGCCCGCAGCCCGGTGTCACCTGGTAATGTTTCCCCGCAGGAATGTTACCTGACTTGAGTCTTGTCTTCCCTCCTCTTTGCACGTTTGTCCTTGTGGTTACCGGTTTGGTTCCTGCCCAGGTCCTGTGGTCATTGGAGCATGGCAGTAATTGACTTCCCAGTATTTCCCAGTCCACAAAACCTGTTTGTTATTGCTCTGTTCTTATCACTTCAGAGCTTTAGAAGTTTTCTCACGATACTGTGCCCTTTATGACCCAAGATGGTGAATCATCTTCCTTTTGAGCAAGTTAGACTTCAAGTCCAATAAGTTTGTAATTTGCTTTCTATACTTTTAAAAAATAATAACCGTCTCCTCAACTCACCTTTCGCCATCTTCTGTCCTCTAGGTTCCTGACTTCCCTTTCCTACTGTATCTTTCCTTAGGTGCCAGTTATTAATCCCAGCCCTAGGGACTGTCGAGGTTCATGCAACTCGATATCCTACGACCTGTTGCTTTTCCTAACTAAATCCTCTTCTCTCTCCTGGGAGCTACTTGCCTCTTCCCGTAAAAGCTTTGAAAGATACTGAGCAGTCAAAAAGGGAGTTTCTGCCCTGCTGTTTGCCAGTTGTGAACCAGATACTTAGTTTGCCCTTCCAGGTAGCACTAATAACCTCTGACCAGCTAAATGGAGAACTCTCCTTACCTCTCGCTTTCTTCTGATCCAAGACCACGAGTTTGGGAAGTAAAGAGGTGATGGGAATGGGAAGAAAATGTTTTGTGACCTGGAGGGTTAGGAGCATACTAAACTGAATTAAAAGAGTGACTGACTCATCTCTTCCTATTTCTGGCAAGACCAGGTGCTCCTGTTCTGTCCTTTCCAGTGACATACAGGGTGTCAGTAACCGTTTGATCTGGCAAATACCTTTGTAGAAATAGGATCCTAGGTGACCACAGCAGTATATCCTTAGGTTCTGTCTTTAAAGGTAGGAATTGACCCTCCAGTTTGAGAACTTCCTTCCAAAATACAAGTTTTGGGGCCTGTATTCTTTCTATTTCCGTGTCTTTTTGTTTTGATTTTGTTACCATGGATACTGTTTGACCTTCTCTATCCCAATTCTGGCTATTTCTGCTGATTTGTAGTGACCTCTATGACTTACTGCTGTTTCTTTTTAAAGTTTCATGTGTGCTTCTTATTTGTTCCAACGCTGTGTCTCAGAAATTGGGGAAATCTACTGGTGTGGTGAGGTTAGACAGCCCAGGGAACTCAATTGCTTTCCACCTGTTTTTGGCAGTCTTGTGTTGGCTGAGTGGATTTGGCCCAGAGTTGTTGATATTTGCTTTATAGAGAGGGTGGAGCTGAACCTAGTTCTCTTTTACTGAAGTTCTGGTTTTAACGCTTACGCTACTGAATTTTAAGAACTGGGTGTTGCAAGTCGTGAGGATTGGAAGGTGTCCAGGGAGCAGCTGCTTCATTCACTTCCTAACCCTGAATATAGTCCACCTTAATAGTCAGGTATTCCCCTTACTGCTCTTTACGAGAACCGTGAAATGAGACACAGGAGGGCTGCACCTCACTCCTCTTTGTCTTTGTATATGGAAGTATGCGTGAGTGGGTGGAGGGGGTGAGATCCCGGGCGTTTTTTGCCACCCGGGGCTCAGTTTTCTTAACTGCTGCTTAAAACCAACCTCAAAGCTGCTTTGCCTGCTCTACCTTTCCTGAAGTGTGGTATCCGCCAGAGCTCCCATTCTGAATGTGCTGTACACATTCTGGCCTGGAATGAGTGTGCTGGAGGTTTGCAATTGAGTGTTTGCAGCTCCCTTACTGCTGCACCTCTCTGAGCATGTTGTTTGCCTTTGAAGGACAGCCATCCCCACCTTTCTGGCTTATGCAGATTCTGAGTACAGATAGGCCGATGAGAAAGCAGAGCTCATAAGTGGCCTGAGATCTTCTTCATTCTCTGAGGCATGCTGTGTGTGTGTGGAGAGCAGGATGGACCCTGGTTTAAAAAGTGGATAGACGGCATCTTTGAAAGGCAGAGCAAAGCCTGACGAGTGACTGAAGACAGGCTGCATGGTTTGCATTTCCCTTCTACAGCTTTATTCCAGTTCCTTTCAGAACACTTTAAAGGAAGGAAAATAAAAATTCCAAGTGAACGGAGGGTTTCTGACTTTCAGCAGGGACGAATGTGGGTGTCGAATACACTCATTTTTGGAATATATGGAAGGGTAGTCAGTACAACCAGGGTTTTAGGAGACTGTAGAGTATCCCTGCATTTAATAGATCCCGTGTCTTCTCACACAGTTGAGAAATTAAGACATTTTTAATAGTTAGAACAGTGATTCCTGATTCATTGAGGAACATAGTAAGTTCAGAAAGTAAGGAGAGTTGGTAAATGTTCCAGTACTTAAAACAAAAACAACTGAAAATAAATTTAATTTGTTTATTTATTTATTTATTTATTTATTTATTTATTTATTTGAGACAGGGTTTCCCTGCAGCTTTGGAGCCTGTTCTGGAACTTGCTCTGTCGACCAGGCTGGCCTCAAACTCAGAGATCTGCCTGTCATGTGCCACCACTGCTCATGCTTAGTGCTTAAAGAGGTCTGAGGATCTCAGTGGACCCATGGAACTAGAGTCATAGATGGTTGGGAACTACCGTGTAGGTACTAGAAACTGAGTCTAGGTCCTCGGCAAGAGCACCAAGTGCTTTTAACCACAAAGCCATCTCTAACCATCAAGAGCTGGAAAGTTTATGGACTGTAAGTTGTTTATTATAAAACCTAAGAAAGTAGTAGTATTCGTAACTTTGATAAGCACATGGACCAAAACAGTTTGTATATCCTGTATGATAACCTTTTCTTAGCCTTATTGGTCTATACTATAGTTTGCACATGGACTGCCAAGTTATTCTAGGGCAGAATTCGGTCTTGAGTGGAATGTAATAGAGATCCAAAAGAGACAGTTGTATATCACACGTGATTCAGAAGAATAGGTTAAAATCATGTTTATTAACAGGAACGATGAGACATGGCATAGAGAAACAATATGGAAGTGGTTCCTGCTGCTCTGTTGAAAACATTCATAGTTATAAAGTTTTAATAGTTATTCTCAGTTTGAAACTAATTTTTAAAAATATTTTATTTATTTATTACTAAGTATACAATGTTCTGCCTGCACACCAGAAGAGGGCACCAGATTTCGTTACAGATGGTTGTGAGCCACCATGTGGTTGCTGGGAACCGAACTCAGGACCTCTGGAAGAGCAGCCAGTGCTCTTAACCTCTGAGCCATCTCTCCAGCCCTGAAACTAATTTATATTAAGATTTTTTTCTTTTTTTTGTGTTGGGCCTTCTGCTTTCAATCACTTGTTTCTCAGTAATAGGGACACTAGCAGTCTTAGCAAAGCAACTGGGTGTTTACCTGTTACTGTTAGGTGACACTTCCCTGTAGCCAGCTGCTTGCTGTCCGTCCTCACCCCTTCGGTGCTCTTCTGGTGGCTGGTTTGAGCATTGACAGGGTTTTAGGCAACTAGGAAGTTAAAAACTATTAAGACCGAAAATTCTGAGCAGGGCATGATGGGAACACACCTGTAATCCCAGGCAGGTGGATCTCTGAGGCTGAGGCTAGGCTGGTCTATGCAGTGAGTTCCAGGATAGCCACAGCTACATAGAAACCCTGTTTCAGGGGTGGGGTGGTGGCCGGAGGGAATGCTAAACTTTTTGGAAGCAAAAATTGAAAAGTAAAAAATACTATAATCACTATGCAAACCTATTTTTATTTTCTCTTAAAGAGAAAAAAAACAGGTTTTAGAATCATTAACTCCTTTTAAAGAACATAAAAGGTTTACTTTGGAAAAAGACAAATAAATGAATTTCTTCATTATAGGATAACCAGTTTTGAGATTTATTTTTACTTCTATCCATTAGTAAAGCTTGTTATGAATGGTACCCTTCAAACATGAGAGCTGGGGGCTGATGAGATGGCTCAGAGGGTCAAGGCATTTGCTGCTAAGTCTGAAGACGTGTTTGAACCCCAGGACCCACGTGGTGCAAGGAAAGAACTGGCGCTTCCACGTGGGCAACAATTCAGCTCATGCGTGTGCGCGTGTGTCTAACAAATGTTAAAGGACTATAGGAGAGTTAGCGCTAGAAGAGGTTCACGTTTCACCAAGTGCAGCACAGTCGTCAGTCACTCCTGTGTGCTGGCCGCATCCAGGTGGATGACGGGACAGAAGGGAAGCAGAGATTTTAGTCCTGTTGCTTTCTTTAGTAGTAACATAGGATGGACCTAAGAGAAGGTGCAAGAGGGAAAAGAAGCTCGTTCTCTTTGCTCGGCTCTCTGACAGTTAGTGAGTGTCATTTGCTTTTTAAACATTGTTTATATTTCTTTCTCCCAAGAAGAGGACAGACTATGGAAGAATATAATCGTAATGGAACTGAATTAGAAGTATAGCTCAGTATCTCTTAGCATATGGAGACCCTGGTCCCAGCACTACAGACCAAACCTTACTGGAGTTGGAGTCCCTTGTCATGGCCTGATGTTGGTGTTCTAGTGTGCATGTGGTGTGTCCTCCCTGTGACTGTAACTGTCGAGGCCCTGATGATGGTCCTACCTGTTCTTCTCCCTCGAGAGTCTGTTTAAGGTTTTGCTCATTAAATTTTTGTTTTTGTTTTAGCTTACTTGCAAGTCTTTGGAATATATGTGTTTTGTACGTATTTTATTCCTGTTTAGTAATTTAAATTTCTTTTAAGATTTATTTTATGTGCATTGGAGTTTTGCCTGTATGTATCCCTGGTGAGTGTCAGATCCCCTGGAACTGGAGTTACAGACAGTTGTGAGCTGCCATGTGGGTGCTGGGAACTGAACCTGGGTCCTCTGGAAGAGCAACCAGTGCTCTTACCCACTGACCCATCCTTTCACACCCCCCATTTAAATGTGGAAAAGAAGGGGGGGTTAATTTTGAAGAAGTCACTTTCTCCCCACTTTTGTTTTTTTTTTTTTTGCTAAAAGCACTGTCACTTATATTTTCTTTTCAATGTTTTGGTTCCACATGTTGGTTTTGAATTGGGATTTTTCACTTGTAGGCAACATGGCTCATTTTTGAAACTTAGGGTCAGGGATCTTTGAGATTGTATTTATCCTCTCTCTCTCTCTCTGTCACTCTCTCTCTGTCTCTCTCTCTCACTTACACACACACTCTGTCTCTGTCTCTCTCTCTCTCTCTGTCTGTCTCTCTCTCTCTCTCTCTCTCTCTCTCTCTCTCTCTCACACACACACACACTCACAGTCTAATAATGCTGACGTATGTTTTCCTGTACACAGTGTACTACAGGTTTTATGTCAGTCTTATAATGTATAACTAACTGTTAGTGAATGTTTAGAATTTTTACATGAGGATGATAAATTAATTCCAGGATAAAGAGTGGCAGTACTAACAGTTGAACGAATGCTTCCTGTGTGCCTAGTGGTATGGTAAAGAGTTTTGGAGTCAGTGACGTGGTAGTCTCTACACTGGCCTTATAAAATAGGCATTACTACTATTTTCAATTCATAGGTGATTGGTTAGAGTCCATTGAGATTGGGCAACCTGCTTGAGGACAAAGAAATAGAGAGTAGCAGAGCTAGGATTAAGTTAAGTCTAGCTGATTCATTATTTTGTAATGACAGTTCACATCTGCTCTGTAAAAGTGTTCACTTCTAGAAATTTCCTAGAAAATTTTGGTGGTATCCCCTTAGAGTCCTTTGGTCATCTGTGGTCTATTAAATTGGATTCTCCTATAATCCATTAGTGGGGAAATAGTACAGGGTTTAGATGTACAAAGTGCATTGGCGAAGTGCCTAAATGCTTTGTGTGTTTAGTTTAGACTTTGAAGCGATTGGGAGAATCATAATTAAAGTTATCTTAGACATGGAAAAAGTAGCTGTTATTGAGAATGCAAACCCCATCTTCCCTCTGGCTCAGGAGTTACTGCTCAGGAGTGCAAAGCATTTGTTTAGCATGACCTGATCTCCTTTGTAAGTAGACCTGCTTTAACAGCATCCTCCGTGGGG